TAATAAGATGAGATAAATAGATGAGATAAAAGTAGGGGTTATCACACAGGTCATCCAGCTCTTGTCCTGGACAGCCACAGTACAGTAGGTCATGGAATAATCACCTTGCAGGATTTGTCTGGGTCACAAATGACTAACTGAGTTAATTACTTGCTAAAATAATCAAGAATATTTTACACAATCTGCTGTATTATGGCTCGTCGGGGACACATTAGGCCTTCTGTAAACTCTAGACAGGACAACCAAATTAAGCATTAAAGCACTGCACATGCTATCTACAATTACATCCATGCCAACTCTAGACAGAGTAATGGTACATCATAATAAAGGACATGTACTGTAGTTACTGTATATTGTCTTAACATATGGAGATATGCACCCTATTGCTTGGTGTTTCACCTACTGTAGCATAACTGGCCATGTTTACTTGATACTGATTTATGAAATCCAAAGCTATCTGATTCATGAGATTACACTTGTGTATGGAGGCCTGAATGAGTCCCCTTAAAGCTTCGATGTTCAATGTAAAAAATGCAGAAGACCAGTGTGTAAAAAGATAACTTTCACTCACTTGATAAGTTCCAAGGTGCGATGGGCGGAACTACAGACAACAAGCACAATCACGGACTTCTTCTCTGTGTGTTGCTTACAAAGCTTTGCCCATTTTGGGCAGACTGAAAAACAAAACCCAACAGCGGCTCAGGGAACAGAGTGGAACGAAAAAGAGGGCATTTCAACATACAACACGAAACGTAAATGATAATGAGCTCAATCCTCAATCCTACATTTGGAACACAATTTAAATAATTATATTCATATACTGTAGGGCTTTCATCCCTAAAGATCTCAAAAGTTTTTACAAAAAGTTAACTCACGGCAGCCCCTCTACATTAGAAACCCCACTACATTGCAGATCAGAGGGAGAAGTGAGGCAGTTTGTTCACTAGCTGAAATCTTAGGCAGACCAGACTGTGCAAGACCAGAAGGGACTCTGGCTAAGGTTCTGCGCCTGTGGCTGGAAGACTGCCGGTTCAAATCTCGCGGCTGGCAGAGGAATCCTACTCCGTTGGGCCCCTGAGCAAGGCCCTTAACCCCAACTGCTCCAGGGGTGCCATATAAATGGCTGACCATGCGCTCTGACTCCAGGCTTCTCTCTCCCTGTCTGTGTGCCTGTGTGTCTCATGGAGAGCGAGCTGGGCATGCGAAAAGACAAATTCCTAATGCAAGAAATTACATATGGCTAATTAAGTGATCTCTACACTTTATAGACACTAAAGAGCTATGAGAAGGACAGTATATTTTATATTCTTTGCAAGAACAGGATTCACCTGTACAACCAACAACAAAACAGTATGGCCCAGTTCTTAACTTTCTATGAAGTTATCGTTTAGAAAACTCTCACACAGTAGGCTGTTTATGCTAGGTCGTACATGATATCACGATTCCACTGTTCCACTGTTTTCCACTGTTTGAGGACCATACTCAAGGAAAACAAAAGATGAGTGATCAGTAGGTGTTCAAACAATTAGTTCTAGAGGACAGTAACTTACTGAAGGTGTAAATTTCAGTACCCAACTGTGGTATTAAGCAACATAAGCTACTTACTTTGTTTACTTCTAAACTTAAATTCACAAAAGCCAGTTTAGTAATCTATTTAAAAGTCCCACATAACCCAAGAGTGGCTAAGAAGCACAACTACAAATCAAATTAGATTTGTACACTGTATGGGGTAACATATAAGATGTAACATATAATGTACATAATAACGTTATTTTTATTTAACCAGGAGGGATACAGAGATGCTCTCAAACTTGTTTTGTACACAAGTTGTATATAACACTTTGGAAAATTAGTAACCTTGCATTAGTTTGTTTAAAGAATTATACAGTAATCAGATGGACAAAATGTGAGCATACTGTAATTAATGGCCACATAAAATAATGTAGAAAAAGAACACTGAAATATGTCATCCTAGGCTTCTAAACCAAGGTATAGTAACACACCCTTTCTGTCTTAGAGATGTCTATAATAAAAACACAGTGGAATTATGTTTGCCAAATGTTCTCAAATCCCTGACATGTAAATACAGAGTACATGCACTCCACTTACTTTCTTTGAGAAATGATGAAAGGCTGTGGGTTAGGTCATTGCTTGGGAGGAAACAAGAATCTAAAATGAAGACAGCAGAGGGAAAAAAAGCAGTCGGTCATTTGTAATTTTATATTGAAGAAACCCATCCATCTACGTGGCAGAGAATACAATGTTCTGTATGATATTCACCCGTTCCTGGCAGGATAGGTATGTTCATTTTATAGTTGTTTTCTATAGGTTTGTAATACAAGCAAGCAAAGACAGATGCACAGAATCTTGAAGGCTTTTTGAAATCATGAAGTGCTAAAAAGATCATCCTAACGGACTTGGTGTTGGGCTGGGCAGGTCGTTGTCAGAGTGTGTGATTCACTGAAGTTCATGCTGGGAGCGCCAAGCTGAGACACAGCACAGACTCTTGTCTGGGTCGCACCTGGCAGCTTGAGCTCCTCCATCTCAATGGCGGAGCGGCTGTCGGAATACTGCTCCTCAATAAGTCTCCACAGGTCGGCTGGACAGCCTGGTTTGGGGGTTGTAGAAGCCAGAACTTGTGTGATCTTCTAGAAAATGAACAAATTACATTCAGTTTTAAAACTAAGCAGTAAATCCAGTACCTGTTGAATAAAGCAATAACGGTAGGACCACTGAGAGATGAATTTTTACCATAAGGGCTGAATAAAAAAACAAAACATTTCCTTCCTTGTTCCCACTGGGGAAAACAGAGGTTATTCTTTTTCTTGAAATGGTCTAGATTATGGTAAAGTATTCATTTACAGTGCTACCTGATGGAGGCCTTCTCTTTGCTAGATGATTCTGTTTTTCATTGAGTATTGGATTGTTAATCTGTGATTATCACTCTGATCATCAGTTTGATTTGATCTAATCCTCACTTTTTTGTATTGCAATATAATCATGCACTAGTGAAGGGACTGCAAATGGATGTCGACATTACAGTTGAACTACAAAATGCACAGAAATAAGCATACAAATGAAGAAATTAAACAGAAGACATCTGAGAGATTTTGCTCCTTGAGTAAGATGCCCTTCTCCGCCAGCAGGTGTCACTGCTGAAAGTGGGAGGTGAGTTCAGTCTCTGCATCACCTTCTTTTTCCTTCTGGATTTCTTAGAGACCTTTTCTTCAACATCAGTTGTCTTCTGAGCAACAAAGCACTCGGTCTGTAGGTAGTGAGGACAAGACATTATTTTTTCCCAGTGGATACCATGATATCTCTTTCTCTTTTATTCTAATGTGAGGCATAAAATAATTGCATACGGGGATGAGGACTTTGCCAATAAGAATATTAATGCATCTGCGCTACACATCGTACAGCTTACATCTGTTTTCTTCTTCTTTGCCTTTGCTGGCTTCACACTTTGGCTCTTTCTCTTCTTTGTTTCACTCTTTTCAGGGGTCTTCACTTCAGCCTTGTCTGCTTCATCTTCAGAAGGACCTGATAAACAGAGACAGCACAGCAATGCTCTCGTCGGGTATTCTTTTTAATCTGGGCATCACAGACAAAAGTAAAATATCAGCCCAAAAGGCTTTCAACCTGACAGACTGATACTTCTGAAATAATATTGAGATACATTTAGGAAAATATTAGTTTCTGGGATTGGTGATTCTGAAGCACCCTAATATCGCATTTTCATTAAAACTATGCTTTCTATGCCTCGATTTAAAAAAAAAATGTTATATGCATTTTACCCTGTTCACTGTAGCCAGTATTTCTTAGTTTTGCTTTGTTGAATGTTCAGCAACTCTGCACTATTACAAACCCTGTACTGGGTATTTAATTAACCACATGGTGATCTGATATAGCTATGAAAGCATGTGAAAAATGGCTGTTTGTATTTGACTAAAGAAAGTAATACATGTTCTTCTTTGTGGTTAAGTTGGTGAACAGATTTTGTGTCCCCTACACCGATAATGTCTTTCACCAGGAACATTTTATACTGCAAGTACCAATATTCAGGTTTCCTAACTTTTCATGGTTTATATTTTCACTTCTATCATTCTCTTTCCATCAAATTGCAAAGTAGTTTTTTGTGAATATTTGAATAAAACACCACCTTCTATCTTCTAAATACAAGATAAAGAAAATAGTGATCCTTTTTAACAAGCAGAGTACTGCTAGTTTAACCTCTGTTGCATTTCCTAACACAAGGCTGAGAATACATCAGGCTTCTAAGTAGAACGCTAAGCAAATGCTGTATCAGCTGCTTCTCTTAGCACAGAACCCACATTGCTGAGATGGTGTGCATGGAACAAATAGCCAAGCGAAATTAACAGCTATCTTTAAACCCCCTAACACATGTTGGCCCATCCTGGGTTAGAAGGTGCACTATAATGCTAAATCATAAATACTTCTCTTTTTAACAGGTTAATGGGTGCAGTGGAAAAGCATAAAATTGGGTTAATGCCACCACCCCAGGAGGAAAAGAAAAGTAGTTTGACCTTGAGTCTATTATTCTCCTTCACCTGTTCTGTGAAATGCTCTTATTTTTAAAATATGCTTATTCCGTGATTCATATAGTTGGATATCTACTGTAATAATTCTAACAGAGAACAGGGAACTCATAGCTTCCGGTCATGACAATGATAAGCCTTTTTTTCATTGAAAATTCAAGACCTACAGTAAACTTCAATGTATAACCTCTGATGCTGCTAATTGTTAACAAAACTTAGTTACATTTTGAACATTTTTTACTATATAAAAGCAGCAAAAATAAAACTAAAGCATGATCACAAAGTCTTTAGATTTATGATTCTTTGAAATATTATGATAACATGCAGTCAGTACATACCAGCTCAGCCATTCAGATTTAGATATTCACATTACATTAAAATTTGACCTAGGATTATTTTAACATCAGTTGCAGCGTAGTCACTGTATTTAACAGGCACATCTGAATAAACATTTTTACTCATCTGAATAAATTAAAGTGCTTCTCCAACTCCTATTTTCAGTCTGGACACAATGCAAATTCCTTAAAAAACTAAGTATTCTCACAGTTCCATTTTGATTGCAATGTGCTTGGGCAATAAACTAAGAAAAGGTCATCACTGTAAAGAACAGTTGAATACTAATACACTGAACATTTTAGTGAAAAATATAATAGGAGATGAAGGATACAAATACACCACTTGTGTCTGCAACTAAATGTTGTTCTTAACATTCTTGTAGTGAAACCAGATATCTTCTAATAAGTTCCTGTGGGACAGGAGAGACAAAAGATCTGTAGCTGATACCCACCACTGGCTCACTGTGGACTCGAGACAGACTGCTAAGGAAGATCAGTAGGGTGAAGAAAACCTTTGTGCATAATTTTTTTATCTGGACTTCATACGAGTGCACTGGATAGGTTTTAGAGGAAAAGAAAAATGGAGAGAAAAATAGGAAAGCAATAAAAAATTAAATAATTTAGAAGATTAAAAATTGCAGCATAGGGAAAGTGTGTGAAGTGCAAACACATTTAAAATTCCAAAACTGTAAAGACACCTCCAAGGGCATATCCAAAGAAAACATGAGTTTGAAATGCTGACTGCAAAAAGCTGCTAAAAACTAGTGAAGACATTGAAGTTTTAAGGGGAAAGTTGGAGCAAATTTTGTACTGGTGTAAAAAAAACCCACACACTTTCTGTTGTACATGTTCTTCCCAAAAGCCTTATGCAAAACCTCTGTTTTATTTTATATGACAAGGAGTTCTGTAAAAAAGGACAGCCAATGGTTTTGACCGGGTTTTGGAACAAATACAGCTGTTCAGCGTTGCCTAGACTGCCCTGTATGTTGGATAGCAGAACACACCTGCCAAACATAACCCGAGCTCGACCCAGGCTTTGTTATACATACAAGCAGGAAGACACATGCACCTCCAGTTTTTAATTCTTATCTCAGACACCGAAAGTAATACTCAGGCCTTTCTCCATCACAGCACCCCATCAGTTCCCATACATGCTCTGCAATGTTTGTTCCTGATTCAGCTCCGGTTTCAAGCTGTGCCCTAAGCCTGTGGCACGTTGATACACGATCTTATTCTAGATGTTTTTGCCTACTGCTGAATTACTAATGCAGGTGAAGGTACAGTAGGATCATGAATCAAGACTGGCCAGGAATAGAAGGAATCTCTCCAGTGGCGATGAATGATGGGCAGGTGGAAACTCCTAACCCTGCACATTTAAATAACGCAAACTGTGATCTGTCAGTCAAGGTTAATTCTGTGATGGTTGAGATTAGTGTTAGGTTACTTCTAAGAGAAGTTCGGTCTGCTAATGGCTGCCACATCTCCAAACCTCCACAGGCTGAATACAAAGCTTTTTTAAAACTAAAATCAAAAGGGGGGCAATGAGTATAAAGAAAATCAGTGCATTAATGTTAGAATTCATAGAAAATCTCCACAAAGTCATAAAATACTGCATAGGTTAATTGACCAATAGGAAACTGCTATGTACTGAATTTGTATGAATATTAATTTAATATCAAGAACGGGCTGGTTTCTGTCTGAATTCTGCTTTTTGCACACTTTCATATATAGAGAGAGGCTTAAGAACATAATAATACAGATAGGAAATGAAAGATGGTCCCTTTCGTCCACCTGCTAGTTAGAAGTTTACTGATTCAAAGCTCTCATCCAGCCACTTCCTCTTGAAGGAAACCAGACTAGTGGCTTCAACCACATGGCTAGGTGGCCTACTTTATACTTCCACAGCCTTCTGACTACAGACGGGCATTTCCACACAGCTTCCACGAGTGTCCACTGGCTCCTACGTCATTGTTCACTCCAAAGAGGTCGTCTTTATCAACGCCTCTGAGAATCCTGAATATTCGTATCAGGTACCGTCGTCGTTTTCTCTGTTCAGGGCTAAAAAGGTTCGGTCCCGGTGGACTGACTGCCGATTACAGCACAATCTTTTTGTAATATGGTGATCAAATTTGTACACAATATTTTAAATGGGGGCATTCCTTGATCTGAATCCACAGTTTTGACTCTACGACCTAACATTTTGGTTGCCTTTTTATTGATTCCCATCATTGTCTTGAAATGACTGGTCAATATAAACACCTAAACATAAAAATATTATTTTTTACTAACAGTGCTTTCTAGGTCAGTTGCCCATTCTGTCCATGATTTATATTTGTAATACCTTGTAATGTCTTTGTTTAAGCCTTTTCCTTCTCTGCAGTAAATTGAACAAACCTGCCTTGATGGACTGATGTGGAATAGAAATTCACAGGCAGGAAAAGGGATCAGCGGATTGACCAGGTGCTTAATTGGGACATTCCTTAGGAGTAGCAGCAGTCAGTATAACAGCAGTCAGGTGTGGAGAGCTGTGTCTAAGCTTCTGCAGTTCAGGGAGGGAGAGTGTTAGTTGTATCCTGAATTGTAGAGAGTTTAGATTAGTATAGGAGTGTGCCCGCTGGCAATCCTAGGTCCATTTCAGGTTTGGAAAGTCAGAAAGAGATAATGAAGACTTGCAAGGATATTTCCTAGTTATGGGATTTAGTAAAGAGAGATGCATTTAGTAGTTTGTTTTGTGTGTACTGTATTCCTGGATGCATTTGACTTCTCTGTAGTCTTAACTGTATAGTAGATCAGTGGGATTTATAGCTGGGAACTGGGAACCAGGGGGTAAGGTGTGCGAGCAGGTCTCGGAAGAGACAGGAAATGTGTATCTTCCAGTGTAGGGAAGACTGGCAGTGGAGGGGTGAGCCCAGTTCAGTGTGCCAGGAGGTCCCAGAATAGGAATGGGACAGGTTTCCTCCAGGTAAAGGAAAGACTGGCCGTGGATGGGTGAGTCTGGCTGAGTGTGCCAAGGGCTCCAGGGAATGAAAGTGATGAGTTTATATCGGCACAGGAGAGAAGTGGAGGAGTTGGGAGTTAATCCGGAATTTCTGTGTTTCATCTCTTGGAGTGGAATAGAGCGCTGAAGAGCTGTTCCACATGAGAAGATCTTTTGGGAATGAATACCTCTGTGAAGGACTTTTTTGGAGAAGCCTGCTCAGTCCCGAAAGGGGACCATCTGTACATATCAGGAGCTAAAAGCCAACAGTGGCAGATCACTGATCTCCAACATGCCCTTTTATTTTTGGCTAATCCTTGTAATTGAGTATCATCTGCTAACTTGACTAGTCTACTAATAACACTGACATTAACTGACACATGATGAAGGCTCCAAAGCTGATACGTTGTTTCTTTTCAGCATGGAATAAACCCTTACTTGTTCCTAATGACATTAACTATAGCAGAATATAGCTCGTTGATAAAAATTAGGAAGAGCAGTGGTCCTTGTACAGATACCTGTGGTACTACAGTGATTATGTCACCTCAGTTTGAACATTCTGACAGTATCAGCTACAATACATGTGCCCAGTTATTTCTACAGTACTTGGTTTATCTTGTCACATGAAGACAAACTTAAAAACAGAAACGTTCATAAAAGTCAACTGAACACTAAGGTTATTAATCCTAAAATATAAATATTTGTGGACTGTAAACTAACGTCCCTTTGTACAGCATCACATTTTTAAAGAGGATGCAGCTGCACTACAGTATTATTAATTACTGTAACTGCTTGGACTTAAGCCCACCGGAAAAAATGCAGACTCTGCAAATGTTCTACAATGACTAATCGATCAATACCTTCTTTGGCTACATTGATGGTGCACAATATACTCCTTCACAGCCCCACAATAACCACTTCATCTGCTCAGAAGTGGAGAGTAACCAAAGAAGGCTCCATCTCATTTTCTACACAAAAGATGAAAACAGACCAATGGACCACTTACTGATATTAATATTAGAATGGACGAAAACAGATATATCTCAGAGAGAGATGCTTATTTAAAACCTGCAGGTATAATTTGAAAAGACACAATTATGTAAAGAGACCATCTTGAGTCAGGTCTTGAAGCCAGAAACTGCTTATAATTCATGAGCAATGAAATACAGGAAGGAAACTATATGGTAACAAAAGAGTAAACATTACCTTGTCATTCCTGGAATCTCAAGTATGTCTGGCATTCAACAGTTATCCCTTGCAACACTTCCTAATAGCTAAGCATGGAATACAGTGGATCTTGACTGCACAATCTGACCAAGAAGACATCATGATACGAAATGTTCAAAAAATCAATTCTGCAATTTAATCAGTACATCCATTTTCTAACTGCTTCATCCAATTCAGGGTCACAGAAGAGCTGAAGCCTATCCTGGCAAGTAACATATGAAGCAACTTCATCTAACACTGAATTTCTTCTTGTGTTAATTATTTCTGCACTGTAGATGTTTTTGTATATTAATGATAATTATTATGTGAAGAGATGCAGAGAATGACCACTACATCACAGAATATCATGTCAATTGCTGCAGGAAAAACACAATGACTACTACACAATGTCATAACCTGTAATTAAATTCATTCAAAATCCTTAATTATAATTTATTTAGAAATAAGAGTAATCTGTTTTACTGAGTAAAAAGTAAGGTGCTTTCACGCAAAAATGTAAGCTTGCATTCAATAGCTGAGGAAATGTTTTCTTAAAATTATGCATACCCACTGTTTCAATAATGTCTTCAAATAAACATAAATTCTTAAATGGTCACTTTGACAAATGTTAACAAAATCCAGCCAACACAAATAATAAAAACTTAAATTAACATAAAGAAATCTACTTTAGCCTGACATCCCATGTTATAAAATGTCATATAATGCAGCATCCTTTGTGTTTCCTGTAACTTTCTAGGTTACCAATTTTAATTCATGCATGTTATTAATTTATTATGGATATGTGTAGAAATACTTATTCTTCTTAAAATCTATTTTAATCTGTAAAATGACTTCAGACTAACACGTGTTAACATCACATCCTGTACTCCCCTTCACAAATTAGAAAAACGTTTTACGTCTCAAGACTTTTTTTTTTACAAAATATTTTTTCCAACCTATAATGGAAGACAACAATATTGAGGAAATATCCACACATGAAATGTTAACTGTCTACCTTCTCGGAAGAATATGCACTTGCATGTAATGGCTAAAGTTAAGAGTTAAATTTACATTTTGGCAATGATGAGGCTTGGGAGGAACAACATGATACAGTATGGAGGTCCTGTGTTACTGTTTGGTTGAAAAGGACAGCAGGTGCTACTGACAGCGGGGTCTGTGTGATATCTCCATAACAACCAGAGACACAGTGGAAGTAAACTAAGAGGCTTTAAAAAATCATCCATAGCTCAGCATGACAACTTAAACGGTTTCTTTTCAATCCTGGGAGGGATTAACACAAATGTTCTTGTTTCCTAAGAATGTACAGTATATTTTAAGCAGAGCTAGGCAACAACTGGCAATTAGAAAATGGTATATGAAGGCACAGCATTGTCATCTCTATTCTTTTACCACTTAGCGGGACTTTTGTGTATTTGTCAATGTGAAATAAATGTCTCAAGCATCCAATTGCAGAGAGAGTTTTGGCAGTCTTTTATTTACTGAATTAATGACTGTGTAAGATGTGAGAAATGTTTAGTTCGGCTTTGTCTGCAATTTGATTTAAGATAATGCAGCTGTTGTGGTATTAAGAGGAAAGTTTTGAAAGATATTACTTTTGCTGCTGAAAGTTTAGCCAAGATTCTGTCCCAGACAAGGGCAATGGCGTCCTATGGGAAATTCAGACTAATTACCATTGCACTTGCTCAAAAAGCCTAATGTATGAAAAATATAGCCTCATGGCTTGGAATTATATCCCCTTGAATTTATAAGTCATTACAGATCCTAGGAAACATTTTAAAAAGTTTTTTTTTACATGCCATCTTAAATATATGGCATGATTTTGTTTTTGGTTAAAACAGATGACAGAGATGAAATGTGTCAAAGATTAATTTACATCCTTTCATTCCGTGTCTGGTTACAATCTGAGCCAGTTTTGTTTTCTGGGCCACACTGACGCTACCTCAAGTAGGAAAATCGGCACACTCGCACCCAGGATATCATAACAGTCTTGATTCTGTTCGGTGTTTGAGAATACAGACAGAAGCAGTCTTCCACTGTATGGGGACTTGTGTAGCTGGCACATACTGCTCATTTATACCCACTTGGAACTATTTAAACATGTTGCAACTATTTTTGTAGTGACCTTCACTGTCTTCCAACAAAGCTGTTATTCAACTAAACCCCATAAACAGCAGGTGAACTTAAACCCCATCCATGGCCCTACTAAATTTTAGACAATAGAAAGGAGCACTGTGTTTTCATTATTATTTGTTAGGTCAGTATTTGGTTTCACTTTTCGGTCCAGCTTTGCAGCCACCTTCATGTTTCCCACTAGGATATTTTTCACTCATTTCAATGAAAGAATACACGAACGGCTTAATACTGTACATAAAAGATTGATCCACCAGACAGTCAGACATAATCCTCCCGTTGAGGATGATTATGATGTTAAAGTGGGAATGGAATGTAAATCATGAAAATCCTACAGTGTGAAAATCACAATTTAAATTTTAAAGTCAACTGTAGCATGCTAAGTTCTTAGCAGCTCCTTTTGTCTTTCAGTCAGATCTCATTACAGTGGATGGGCCAACAAGGCAGCCTCTTAAAAAACAACAAAGGTCTCAACCTCTTTGGTATGAACTTTGCTGTCCTTTTTCTGGCTGTTGTCCCCACGTTCACCTTTAAATGGCTTAGACAAGTTGTGATGAGAGCAAGCTGTCACAATAGCCAGATATTTGACTTGTTACAAAGATGTCATGGAAAAGTCAGCATCAGGGAGAATCTGAGCAAATTCTTTATCCTAATCAGATACCTCCTGTCTGACTACATTCGAATCCATCATCCCTATTGGAATAAACATTGTTCTCAACTTGAAGTGATGTAATCTTACATCTGCTGAAGATATTGCATATTAGGCTGCATTAGTAATAGCCGCTATGAAGAGACGATAACCGCCAAGGGAGACCACTTTCAAAATAAAACCTACTGTGTTCATTCAGAATTCAAAGAGGCTGCAAAAATGCAAACATGGTGTCCGTCTTCCAAAGGTATTTCTAAGGTTGCAGTTAGAATCAAAGTTAATCAAAAAGAGTAATTAAATTAATCAGCATTATGTAATCAAGTCCAAAGTTCACATGAGCCCTGAAAAACAGTTGTATTAAAACATTCCAAGAACAACTTATTTTTACTGCACCTACTGTCACCTCCTCACAAAGTCAGTCTGACCATCGTAAAAATTCAGACAACATTTCTGTACTTCTTGCCATCAGCAAAACAGGTGAGCAAAGACAAAGAAATACCCTACAGATATACCTCCCCATTTCACACAGATGGTAGTGGCACTCCCCCTCTGAAATACCATGGCAGTGTCTGATAGTATGTGTATCTCTCTCTCTCCGCCACTGCACTGAGAGTGCCCCCGGACCCGCAGAGGTCAGGATCCCGACAGGGCCATCTGGTCCTGGGAGCGGAGAGTGGCGAGGAGAGGAGGGTGGGATAAATTTAGAAGACTGCAAGACTTCTGCGTGCCAGGCTGACTTCACTGCTCTGCTGTCCTCTGCAGCTCTGTGTCACAGCAGGGATCGAACTCCCCTCCTCCCCATCCTTCTAGCTGTGTGTCGCTCTCCCCCTTCCTCCAGGCTCACAATCAGAAGGAATCAGTCAAATATCCAGAGCCCCCCCTGACCCCCTCCCTTGCATCACTCTTATTGGGATATCACCATTGGAATCAGCAAGCAAAGGAAACGGAGGATACTGAAACCATACAATTGGATAACAATTCTTCCTTTTGCTTGAGATGAAACACTCACAGCAACAGCAGCAGCAGCAGCAGCAGCAGTGACTGCAAGAACCAGAATTTGTATGCAACACAGCATTCCCTAAGGTAGGCTTGCCTTTGGAGATCCGTAGGTTATTCTCTTCCTGCATGGGGTCAGAGTGCTGTGGTGGCTTGAAATACACTGCACTTCTGAAAAGGGGGTTGACTTTTATAATCTTGCACCACCTTGAAGGCGATTGTGTTCTAAACTAGTAAGAAAAGTGAGACACAGTGGACTGGTGAATCTGGTTGTTTGTGCTGCGACAGCAATGCTACGTGTGGGAGCAATGGAAACGTCTTTGGATTTTCGGATGATATGACGACCCAGTTACAATTCAGCCCTTAATCAGACTGTAGGATAGGCAGATGAGATTTGTATCATTAATAAGATAAGATAAGAGATTTGTTTCATTTGTATCACTAATAAGACTCCTTTTTGCAGATGCCTTACATTAATGTGATTTAAGCAGTGCTTAACATTGACAGGTGATTTAAGTTCTTCAAAACATTCTGAGGATGAGCATTAATTACTTGTTCAGTAAACTTATTATTTCTGTATCTTTCATTTTATTTCATCACATGATTGACAGCTGTGACAGTGTGAGAAATGTTGATGCTATTAAGTTTACATGACATTTTAATTTTATGGGCTATAGCTGATTTTAACTCAAATCCCTGTTGCTAATTGGACATAATGTGGTTTAACCCTAAAGAATGGGGGAAAAATCAACACTATTTGATTTTCTGGCAAATAAAATGTACAGTTTCATTTTGTCTTCTTTATAAAATTTGCCTTAATGTCAGGTGACATTGTAAAAAAAAGACAACAACCATTGGAAATGTGTATTCTACCTACCATGCATCATTTGTGCAAACTGTAAAGGCATGACATTAAGCAGTCACTGCACAAAGTTCATGTCAGGGACAAATCACAGACTGAGAAAGACAAAATGGCTTGGTGTTATTTGAAAAGAAGCAAAAAAAACCTGGCTAATTTACATTGAAAAAGCAATAAGCAGGAAATATGAACAACCCTGTACAACCTTTACACAACCCCTGGCCTTCTGCTGTAGATCTCCCTCTGCTCTTACCTACTACAGTACACCAAAAGCAGCCTTAAGGGATTTTGTCACCAAAGTTACAATAAAATATATTTATATTAACAGTACTTGAAGTGTCCAAGTGGACCCAAATAGCCTTCGCTAACATTTTTAAGTGTGAAGTGTGATTTTAAGGGGAATGTGGATGTAAAGCTTGTGTCAGTTTTCTGTGACTTATTGTTGTATAGACATTAAATAATGAAAAAATAATTTCTAAGAATCTGAGGCAAATTTATGACAAGCATGGCGAAATGGGATTTGCGATCACTGCCGTGTTTCCCTCTAGCAAAGCCATTAGAGATGCACATAAATAATCAATATTAGGATCATGTTTCAGGAGTTCCACAGGCTGCATTTCTGCTATATAGCTTAAGAGAAGATTGATGACGAAAAAGTAATCAATACTGTTTGGCACGTATCGAGTTCTCTTTCAGCATGGGTCGAATACTCTCGCAAGCAAGGAACAATTTTGTTGTTACTATGTACTCCACCTCGTTTTTAAATATCTCAAACGTTTTCTAAAACGCAACCTTTTCTTTTGAAACTAAGGTTTTGTGAAGAATGAGAATACCTAGGTGGAAATAACTTTTTCAAGTTTCAATTACTTAACTTACATTTAGTCAATCTTCATCTTGAGGGGAAAATACTAAAACCAAAAACGTTGGTTGATCAATGTATTCCAGCAGGCATGCTTTCAGCATCATGGGTCTCTCACGAACATGCAGCCTAGTTTGAAAAGTGTTGTCTCTCATTCGATTTCTGCATGACAAATTCATGCACAGTGGATTTATCATTTTGGATGGCTTCCAAAATGAAACCAGCAATACCTATTGCCATTTAACTCCAGACAAAAAAAATGAAAACCCTGAAGAGACTGCTCGGGAGAAAAGACATTTCACTGGGACCCCCAGAGACCTCCAGAATCACACCTGGGCCACATTTGGTGAATTCTTGCCTATGCATGTTGACCAGAATGTTGCCACACCACACTCACATCTCTATATTTGCAGTTTTATTTGTAGATGAATCACCTCTTCAGTTAGCTCTGGGCTGAGAAAGAACTTTTGATGATAAAAGGAATTTGACAAATGGTATTCCACTGAATCTTTGTCCTGCTGGAACTCTGAGGGCAAATCACAACAAAAAAACCACAAGAAAAAAAACCACCAGGGAATCCACTTTATACACTGGGAATATCTTTTGGTCTGAAATTACTCATGAAACCACTAAACAGTAGTATTGGTATCCCAACAGTTTCAGTTTTTATGAAACCACTGAAGAGGTATTATATCCCTTTGCTACAGACAGACTCCGCTGTGGTATTTAAAAATTGGATGCATAATTTTCACTTCCTGTAACAAAGCAAAAAAAAAAGAAAAGAAGAAGGAAAATATATTAGAGGCATTGTGTGATTTATGTAATGTTTAGAGAACATTCCTTATTCCTCTTTTGTTGCAAACAAGTCATTAATGAGGCACAATAAACAAAGTTATTAACAAGAATGTAAGATATAGGTGTCATATAGACCACTTTATAAATACTAAAGCTTGTTGTAGGTAAGTGCTAACGAGACTCCAGCATTACTAACATCAGATCTCCTAGCTAAGGAAGGCTAGGTTTGGCCAATATTGGGATGGGAGACCACCAGAGAAGACCGGATTGCCGCAGCTGTTGTTAAATCATGGGAGTCGGACAGCGGGTGGTACTCTTCTGCCTGGACCAGAATTTCCAGATCAGTATCGTATCTGGAGACACCATGCCATAGCAGGTGCTGTCCTTTTGATGAGATCTCATACAGGCTTCATGACTGGTCATTAAAGATCTTGTGGCCCTGACCTATACCACCCCTAGTTTTAGGAACAATCTGGGATCGCACAATGTGAGCTCCCTAATGCCCCCCCTTACTTCAGCGGGTGAGGCAATTTCTGATTTCTCCAATGGGGCTGTGTAGTGGGGATGCCGGTGCCTAATGTCTGCTGCTTTTCACCCAGGAGGTGCTGCTTCGATAGCAATTTATGGCATAACTCAAAATCTGAATAAGATTAAACAAGTTCTCTTGATTCACCAGACACATGGAAAAATATATCATTTAAACAAGGTGGAATCTTTTTTCACAAAAAAAAAGTTAAAATCATAAGAGTAATAAATCACATTTGGTATAACTGTGCAAAACGCATTTACATAACAAAATCCTTAAATGTCAAGATGAACTATCCATCAGCTCATGAGCTTATATAATGTATACTTCTTTGAATGATGGAAATGAAGTAAATAAGATAAATGTCCTATAAAGACAGAACTAAAGGACTTTTAGGAACCACAGAGCCAGGTGCATCCACTACACTGTAACATGCCTTCATCTGTGTTCTCTTCACACTTACTGCAGCAATTCACAGCTCTTGTGTTACTGGTACAGTTCTGTTTGAAATATTCAGAGGAAATTGCAATGGTAAATCCTCATATTGCATTTTGTATAACAGTATGGAACATAACTGGCTTTAAATGTCATTTGAGGCATTTGTTAAATCATGGTGCCAGGTCCGCCTTTAATTTTCATTTTAAGCACATAGGTCTTTTAATCATTTGCATTTGCAAAAAGAATCAAATCACCTAGGGAGATACATTACTTTAGTATGTGTGCTGCAGTATGTGATAGGAATAAATGTTTACATCACTTTGCCTACTGGAAACATTAGTACATTTCTCTGATTTTCTGCTTCTTTTTCGATCAGTGTACCAAGGGTATTTAGACAATCTAAGATGTATGATTGGGGAATCAAGTTTAGTGCCTCTGAGGGATGGGTACGAGGTTCATATCAGCTAATAACTCTTCTGGGTACCAGAGCACATAAGGTCCCTGTGGGTTTTCAATTAAAGCCAGTCAAGGAGTGCAGTTTGTGCAGCACAGTTTTGCTCTTTGCATTGGCAGCAGCGTCTTCACACGCTGCGGGTGGAAGCAGGAAGTTTCATTCCATCTGACGACATAAGAAGCCCGTCTTCTGCCAATTCCACTCTTGGCACTACCCCCGCACATTCACTCAGTGAGGCAGACACTTTGGCTGGAAATCTAAAGCCAGCCAAGGACATGTTCTTACAGCAATAAGCTAATCTTCACAGTGGTCCAGCCAGAAAGCCTGTCATAGAAAGAGCAGTAGTGAGCAGCCAGATTAAATAGAACCCATCCTGACAAGTTTGCCAGACTCTTAAGAGACGATCTGGAAAAGACTTCGAAAGTGTTCATCAGACTCTCATTTATCTTCCTTTGAGGGATGAGAAAAAAAGCGATTGCTTTGTGCTCCTGCCATACGTGCTGGTGAAAAGCAGCAACATGTAAATTTGAGCAGAGAATGTAATGTGTGCCAGAGGTTAAAGAAAATTACACCATTGAAAGAAATGGGACAAGATGCTAACCTCCTTTTCCCCTGTTAAAATTACTCCTCTTATCCCAAACTGTTTGTTCTGGCAATACAGTTGTGTTGGGATAAGGGGACATATTAACCTTAGTTGCGGTTCATCTCATTTTGTAATTTTGAACTGTAAAGTATTATATTCTCAACTGAATTGGCCTCTAGAGGTTTGTGATCATGTTAACATAGCAGATGTACAGAGCATATATAATGCTAGACACAGGAACTAAGATAATTTTACTGAGTGTTCGATGAAATAGTGAATTGTGGATTTAAGATGAGAATCCATTTATCCCATTAAAATAACTAACATTGAGCAGTTTAGACAATGTCATCAAACTGGATAATTCCAATGTATTTCTTCAATATCAAGAGGATGTTCAAGCAATACCACTGCAAATAAATACACATAAGAGAAAAACAATTTCACCTTAGTTTATTTCACTATTGGGCAATTCACTACACAATTTATACCAGTACTCAATCTTAGAGTAAAAACTTACAAGAATCAAAATGCCCTGCTATTGCCACCCCTTCCAAAAATACCCTAATACAATGA